GGAGAGACTGGGTGCCTCGCTCCAGGTCTGGTGATGGCCAAGCTCTGGGACAAGAAGAACTGCAGACAGCTGGGCACAGGCTCTCTTTCCCTTTGGCTGAACCTGTTAGATCCATTACTGAAGTGCCTGTGAGCATAGGAACGCTCCGATGCTGTAGATAATTAAGGGTAAAGTTATGGGAGGAACGAGGTGACCGCAACCCCTGATCGGCCATGCTTTGGTGTGTTCCTTACTGTAGTCACCTGCAGAATAAAAACAATGGGAACACATTTTGTTGCTTTTGAGAGGACTAAGTGGAGTCGGTATGCAGAACAGCATCCAGTAGAAAGCAAAGGGGAGATGCTGCCTGTTGTTGTGATTCTCACCTCCTGTCCTCAGCAGGTTCTTGCTCAGATAGCCTGGGCCCATCCTGCACACAGACAGAGCCAGGGGGGACATGAAGTTTGTAAGTCAGGGCATTTGGTTTTAGTTACCAGCACCAAGGGGACTGCTCCCGAAACTGCTCGGCATGGCATTAAATATGTGATCTGTGCTAGGAGAGGCTTTTCTAAAAGTCCATCTTTCTGGTCTGCATCTTCATCAGTGCAGTTGCTTTATTCTTTTTGTTTTTCCTTTGCAAAATGTGGCAGGCTTCACCCACAAGTCTTTTGTGCCATCTGTATAAGAACCAACTAAGAGAAAAGATATGTATACACGGAATTCTTATGCCCAGCAGAAACCCCTCCCCCTTTTAAAGTATTCCTAATTTGGCAATATTTTAATTCTCTAAACAACATGATGGAAGTTGATCAGATTTTGAAATTATCTTTGTCTTGTTTCATACTTGAAAGGCAAGAAAAATTTCCCTCTACTTCCTTACCCTCTCCCAGGGGTCATTTTCCCCTCTTTTCTCTGCCCTGTTTGCCCTCTGACCCTGCTGAGCTCTGCTGTTTCCAGGGACTTCTGAATCTAATTAATGTCTTAGCGGCTGTATAAGTGAGTTATGTGGGCAGGAGGATGTTGGAAACTTTGTGCATTCCTTAGGGAAAGCCTGGTTGTTTTTACAGGAATGCACATTCCCGGGGGGCAGAATGTCAGTGACAGACAGGTAAAGCCTCCCTAATGTACTTACACTCCACACATATCTGTTCCCGGATGAGCAGGTGCAATCTTCCCAGCATCTCTTTTGACATCTGGGCCATCACTAGCCATTATGGAAGCCAGCTGAGGGGGCAGATTGTCCAAATACGCTGCCATTGCAAATTGGTCTTAACCATCCCACCCGGGCACCAGCCCCCAGGCCATCTCCCTCCTTTTTCCAGCCAGTTCACAACCATTTGTGTGCGGTGTGTCCCTAGATGATCTCCGTCAAGAACCCGTCTCCCCGAGGCCCCCAACTCTTTAAGTCTCCAGGATAGCAGAGGTGTGCCTGGGGGTGGGGGGGGGGGAGGGCAAGGAGGGAGAGGCCAAGAGCCAAAGGAAGTTCTCCGCCAGAGGATACTGTCAGAGAGCTCAAGGCGGTCCCTCTGCCCCATGTTTCCATGGAAACATAGGAGGAGTGATGACAGCTAGCACTGCTGCACCATCTGCTTGGGACCTGGTGAATGATGGAGAAAAAAAAAATACAGAAAGGAAAGGCACCTCAGATCCCAGGCTAGAACCATGGGGACATACCTGTGGAGACAGGGGAAGGCCTAAGATGCCAGAGCTCCTGGTAGATTTGAAATCCATGCTGTCCGGGAGCCCCATGCTTTTTTTTTTTTTTGCCAGCTGAAAGCCTAGAGGGTTTACCCTGCAATCTCTAGATACAGTCCCAAACACCCAAGAAGCCACTGGAAGGAGAAGCAGGCCAAGTGATGTAGCAGTGGCTTTGCCGGAACAGGTGTTGTGACAGACAGAGCAGGGGAGGGAGTCAGGGCTGGGAAGCTTAGTGGTCAGCCCACCACCTTGCAGTGAGACATCCTGCAGAGCTGGCTTGTGGCCTGACATATTTTTCTAGAGGACCAGCAGGACTCTAGAGAGAGGACAAATGGCACCTGCTCACCAAGGCCACCCCTGAGTTGCAGCTGTGTCTTCAGAATAAGGCATGTGTTCATAAATCCCTCAAGGTTCCTCCCCTTTCCATTCCTGTCTACAGAGAAGTCTGAGCAAGATGCGGTGGGGTGCTGCTGGGGCCATGGGGCAGGTCCCAGTTCCAGGCTGGCAGGATCTGATGCGGCCCCTGCTAAGCGCACACACATGCCTGGCCCCAGACTGAGCGGGATTCATGTCTTGGTCCCTTTTTCTCACTGAAGGCTTAGCCTCAACAAACCAACAACCCTGACCTAGGGTGTATTGCTTACATGTATCTAGGCAGGGGGAAAAAAAACAAAGCCAAACCCACAGGTCACAGGTCACAAGGTTTATGGGATGCACGAAAGTTCTAACAGCTTTTTAGGAAACATCATTTAAAATTTCTATTTTAATTTAAGCAGTCTCTTGCTCTTTTACAAAAAAAAAAAAATCTTCCCTTTTACTTCTGGCCTTCTAATCCCAGAAAGTCCAATCCCTTTTTATGCTTTGTATTAAGGATTTAAAATTTTGACAACTAGATTAAGTGCTTGTTTTGGTTCGTGTACTCAGAGACTGGAGGACAATGGGGACATCTTCATAAACCAGATAAATAATAATGAAAAGATCTCCCCCATAAACTCTCATTCACCATTCTATAGTTTCCTTGTAGAAACTATTAATTTAGATTTATTTCCATGACAGCTTAGTAAAAAATGGTATCTACAACTGTTACTTGGGTTTCTTCAAAATCCCTCGTTCTTCAAGTGGACACTGGGCATCATAAAACCAGACCCTGGAAATGAAAGTCTCAAGGCAACAGGCCTCTCATGTAGAGGTCCCAAACAGAACAGGACAGATACTGCTAAGGAAGCATTTTTAAATACCCACAGTGCAATGGCTGGAGTATGTGCAGAGTTCCAAGTCTAAATCTACCCTCGACGACGTGGCGTGGAGAGAGGTCTTTTACGAGCAACCCCTCCTCCAGCTCTGCACCCCGAGTGCCTTCGCCCCGTCCTTTCCTGGGACCACGTATATATCTTCCGCTTCCTTCAAAGCCCACGTGGGACGAGCAATGAATGGCCGTGGTGGGGAAGGGGAAGGGAGGGCGGGCCAGGCCCTGGTGAGGGGTGGGAGGAGGTCTCTTTCCTGCAGAAGCTTCCCAGCTGGGGCCAGGAGCACAGGATCAGGAAGAGCACACGTTGCGCTCGGTGTTCAGAACCTTGGAACTTGCAGTTCTTCCTCCCCCTCTCTCCTCCACCCTCCACTCCCAGCCTTTGTTCCTGGGAATGCTGTCTCCATCTCCCTTGTGCCAGAGCAAACATTTCCAGCCAGGCTGATGCAGAGGAGTGAGGAGGCAGGCTGTTTCTTCCCCACGTCTCCCAAAACGCGCAGTGGCCTGGGATTCGGGGAAGCCAGCCCTCACACCTGCACTTTTTCCTGTCTTCATATTCTCTTTGTTCTTTTGTGGCCTTGTGATTTACCTTCAACTCCTGACGGAGGTTTTTAAAGGCTGGGAGTTGTCAGCTTGTAAAAATCCCGACTTCTCAGACTGTGTCGATGCAGAGTCTGCCTTGATTTGGCGTTTTTACATTTTTGCACATTAGTTATGGATGCTAACACGCTGTTTCCTAGCTTGGGAGGGGGGTGGGGCTGAGCATTTAGCCATTCAATCTCAAGCAAGACCGAATCCTCACCGGCCTTTGGGTCTCCTACCTGTGTCCACAACTAAGTTTGTTAGTCCTCATCCCGAGGAGGAGGGAGGGAGGGCGTGCGGTGGGAGGTGGGGGGTGGGGGGCAGCGTGTAGATTTTGGCCCAGGAAGGGGTCCTGTGACTTCTCCCCAAGGTCTTAATTTCTAGCGGCCCGGGTCATTAGTGGTTCTTGTCCAGAAAAGGAACAAAAGGGCGAGGAGTGGGAAGGCCTCCTGCCCTCACGGCGGGGGGCGTGGGGTTTGAGACCCGTGGCGAGGCGGAATCGCTTCCCGCTGGGCTGCTCTCTCCAGGAATTCGGGGCCATCCCCAGCACCGAGGGCTGGCTCCGGGGGGCCAGGCCGGGAGGGCTGCACGGTGCTAGGCCAGCAGAGGAGACACGGAGCTCCAGCCCTCCCCTGGACGTGTGCTGTTTTCTCGGCGGGTCTGCAAAAAGTACGTGACACGGGACAACGGGCTCCAACATTTCTTTAAAAGCAGGAAGGTAACAAAACAAGGACTTGATTTTTCCGGAGCTCCAAGGAGGGATCCAGTATCATTCTCTCAGCGGACAATCAGCCACTATCCGGACCGCAGAGGGGGCAGGAAGTTGGCAGCGGCCTCGCCCCCTCCTCTGTAGGGAATAAAGAGCCGGGAGGGGGCTCACAGGGGCCGGCCAGCCTGGGGACCCCGCTGCAGGCCAGCGCTGCTCCAAAGCCGGTCCTCTTGGACCAGGTTTCCCCCCGACCCTCCGCCCCGCGTCGCTTCCCCTTTATTTCACCTAACTTACTGACTCCAGACATTTGAAACGAATCGTGCACGGCGCTGCCGTGGGCTGCACAGCGAACTACCGCCGTGCCCCGGGCGGCCTGGGCATCGCCCAGCGCCCACCCAGGGTCTGCAGTCCGCGCATCGCGCGTCGGAGCACCCGGCGGGGTCAAGTGGATCCCGGGCCGCGCAATAATTCGTGCTGCTTGGGCAGGCCGGGTGGCGCCGGCACCGCAAGAGCCTTATAATGCAAAGGAGGATTTGATTCGTTCTTCCCCTTGCTGGACTTCTCCCCCAGTTCACTCAGGACACCCGCGGGGGGCCGAGGGTCAGGCGGGCCGCCGGGCCCCAGGCTGCCCAGAGGGCCGATCCCGCCGCGCGGCCTGCGAGCGCCGCGGGACCCCGAGGAGCCGCGCGGAGCGCAGGGGCGCGCGCGGCGCGGGGCTCACGGCGCGCGCGCGCGCGCGCCTCGGCCTCGCCCGCGCACACGCGCCTCCCGGAGGAGAAAGGCGGGCGGGCGGGCGCACAGCACCGCGGCGGCGGCTGCAGCGGGCCGGGCCGCCGCGAGGGCGGGGAGGAGGGGCGGGCGCAGCGCCGGGGAGGGGGCGGCGGCGGCGCGGCGAGCTCGCCGCTCTCTCGTGAGTGTGCCTGCGCGCGAGCCGGCGAGCGGGTGAGTGTGCTGGCCGCTGCCGCCCGGGAGTCGGGGGTGGGGGACGCCGGGAGGCTCCGAGTCGGGGGCGGGCGGCGGGCGGTGGCGGCCGCTCCGGCGCGGCCGGGATGCACCTTGAGCGGCGCCTTTCGTTGCAGCGCGCGGGCGGCCCGGACCTCGGCGAGCGGCGGCAGCGGGAGCGGCGGCGGCGCTGACACCTCCCACCATGGACAGCTTCGACTTAGCCCTGCTTCAGGAATGGGACCTCGAGTCGCTGTGGTGAGTCCCCGGGCCGGCCGCTTGGGGCCGGCGGGAGCGGCAAGGAGCGGCCGCGGCGGCCCGCGCGCCCTCACCTGGGCCGGGGGCTCCGGGCGGCCGCCGCCGTTGGGGGTGGGGTGGGCCGGGGATGCCCGCCTCGCCGGTTCCTGCCTGCCTCCCCCGGCTGCATGCGCGGCCGCCTCCGTCTTTCTGTCCGCACCCCCCCCCCCCGTCCCCTCCCTTCGGTGCTGCCCGCTCCAGTCCCGGGGCCGGTGATCCGGGGAGCCGCGGGCAGAGCGCAGCCAGGGAGAAAGCAGCGATTTTTAGAACGTGTCACTAATGGCTGGGGACCCACCCCTCGGCCCGCAGCCCCCCCACCCCCGGGCAGGGGGGGTGCTTCCTTGCCTCTGGCTGCGCCGCCTGGCTCTGTCTGACCCGGGCGCACACCGGCGACCCCCTGGAGTTGGTGCTGCTTGCGAAGTGCCCTTCGAGGATGCTCGAGCCCGGTCCGCACCGCGCCGGGTCTCGGCGGCTGCATCCTGCCTGTCTGTCCCACCCACTCCCACCGGAGCTGGGAAAGTGAGCACGCGGGGCACCGGGCGATGGCTTCTCCGTGCAGCATTCCAGAGGCCTTGGCCCAGGGACGATCCTTTCCTGCGATGCCTCTGGGCCCGTTCTTCACACCTCTGCTCAGTTGCACCACTCCTCGTCCTCCTGGTCCTCCGCGCGCCCCTTAGGTCCCTTTATGCCAAGCTCACAGCGCGCGCAGCCCGCAGTCTGCGGGGCTCTCCCGGGTTGTGTGCGTGGCGAGTCTCACACGCAGGAGTTGTTGTAGGTCAATCGCCGCGAGACGCAGTTTTAATTCCAGTTGCGGGTGTCTTCCATAATATCCCATTGGCTGCTTCAGCGTCCCTCTTATTCCCCCCTTCTTCCCGCCCCCACCCCTCTATTCCTAAATGTGCCCAACCAGCCCTGCTGTGGGGGTACAGTTACCGCCTGCATATTCCTGGAGGAACTTGGGTTGCGTTTAATATTTACGACGATGAACATCTGCTGGAACAAGCACATTAACTGCAACTGTGTTCTGCCTCTGCTAATCCCTTATTGTAGAACTGAGCTTGTTGTTAGTTTTTTTTTTTTATAATTCGTTAAAGAGTTCACATGTGTCTACAACTGCGAGTGGTGTGCAGATGAATATGCAAGGCACCGTTTTAGAGCTAAGTTGCTTTATGATTTATGGCTCCTATAGATGATGTGTGGTATGTGTATGTTCTCGGTGATTTAGACGGCCATTGAGTTATTTGCCTAGAGACAGGTGTAACAAAATACACTGGACACAAGGCGAGTGCATTATCGAGCAGTTTTTTGTCAAAGATCCGAAGATGAGGAAGTACCGCTTTGCGTAGTGCTGGCGCCTGTAAAACACACAAGATGGGCCCTAATGCAATAAAACCTGTACATATTATGCTGCAAACTTCAAAGCGCCAGTGGAGGAAGAATATGAAACATGTTATTACTCTATAAAAGTTGCTAATTACCGTGTTGCTGCTCCTGGGGTTATTTCAGCCTTTCATTTACGGATACCTGTTATTTTACAGGTTTGCATTTACAAATGTTGGTTTCTGGCGCATGTTCAGTAGGTTTCCCGATAGAAGCCGTACCTTAAAAATGACTTGTGCCTTTTTAAAAGGGCAGGCTGAGAGTCGAAGGGAAGAACTCAGCACTGTGGCATCCTTTTTCTGCCGCTTGTCTGGTTGCCGACTCAAATTGTGCACCCCCGTGTCTTTTGTGAGTGGTGTTGTGAGATGGTCAGCCTTGGTTGGTGGGCCGTTGCTGCTCACAGCCTGCTCTGTTTCCCTTTGCCCCCTCCGTGTCCAGCTGAGTGTACCTGGGACACCGTCACAGAAGAAATCTTTGTTGAATTGGGCTGGAAATTTATATATTAGCCGCAGTACGTTATTGTTGTGAACAAAGACAGGAGTTGAGTGTTTCTAAAAGGAGCTGGGCTTGAAGTCCGGTTGGAATCTGCGCGTCGGTTTTTGGCCCAGGAAAGCAGACAGGCTTTCTCGTTCGCAGTAAAGGACAGGTTAGGTTGATGGAGGGAGCGCTTTCTCTTGTTTTGCAGATGTAACACTTAGATTTTGCAGAAGCTTCTAGGTGTCTGCTGTTAAAGGTAAACCAGACTCCTTCAGTATGTGTTTGTAATGTGGTCAGACATCTTCTCAGTTGTAGTTGAATACTTGGATGGTATCTTTTAATGCATTTGCATGGCTGACTTAAATTTTCAGGTTTATGGGTTACTTTGAAGTTTGGAGAGGATCTCAAATAGCTAATATTTGAGTCTGTTCTGTGTGTCTGATATTTTCATGCCCATAGTTTTCTCACATGCATTTCCTTGCCATCCTGGATGTGGTTAAGTGCTGGTATTCTCGTTCTACAGAGTAGGGAATGTAGGATTTGAACCATTAAAGATTTCACTGGGCCCATAAAACAGATGACAGCAGACTTTAAAAAGTGAACATGTTCAGAACACTTGCTAGTCACCAGACACTGTTCTTGGGCCATTGCATGTTTTAATCCATTCAGTTGTCACAGCGGTTTATGAAGCAAGTACTGTCTTTAGTCCCATTTTACAGATCGAGTCATTGAAGACTGGGGAGATCAGAGGACCTGCCCAGTGTCGCATATTAGGACCAAGAACTTCCCCTTAAAGCCCTGTTTTCTGTCTTCAGATCCAGTGGACGTCCTAAATCCTGAAGCTGTCTCCTCATTTATAAGGGCAGCTATGAAATTAACTGCAGAGCAAAATCTTGAAGGACAGGAAGTGAAGTTTCTGATAAAATATCAAGGAAAGGGAGAGTCAGGGCCCTAAGTGGTAATGACCTCAAATCAAACGTTTGAAAACAAAGACCACGATTATGCCTGTGTGTGATGTTTTAACTTGCGAAGTAGGATACACATTTTAAGTGAAGACCATGGAAAATGTCTTCCTTTAATTTACCATAGACACTTTTCTGTCGAGGAGTAAGGAAGATGTGCAGTTTAAGCACAGGAGAGAATCTTGCTCTAAATCCTCACAACTTTTTCTGATTGGCAGATGCTGTTTTCCAGTAAAACACATTGCCGTTTATTAGTTGCGGCTGTGGCTTTGAACCTGACCTCACTCACTCTGGTTGTCACAGAAAATGTCCTCCGTGAGCCTAGGGACAATACGAAGGAAAGAGTTGGGGACTGTTGAGTGTGATCAAGGCAGACAATCGGTTTACAATCCAGGAGCCACCCCCCTGCCTCTTTGCATACCCTCCCCCCACACTCAGAGTCACCCACACTTATTTCTCGAGGTAGGTCTTTGGAGCCTGAATTATCCAGATTGCCGTTTCACTTTTTTTCTTTTCCACCTTACCTTGATGTTGGGAAGGATGGCCCTTGGACCCACCACTGCCCATCTGTGGTTCGCCACTAGAATGGAGAACTTGGAATAAGGGGAGTGCGCTCGCTCTGTGCTCAGTTCCACAGCTTCTTGTGGAACAGGGTCCTGAAGAATTGGAGATTCGGCCCATGTACGGGGGCACAGGTACCCAGGAGCAGGGTTCCCACTCAGCCTTCTCTTCTCCCTGTGTTCTGCCGGCTTTGGCTCAGCTGCTGGACACAGCAGCCATTCCTCAGGGCCTTTAATGTAATGAGGGTCCTTTTTAACTGGCCACCTGTTGCTTTCCTTTATTCCTTTCACAATGTTTATTGATCATTTCTTAAGTACCGGACGGTGTGCTGGCTGCTGTGGGGGATACAAAGATGAGTGAAACATGGGCTGTGCAGATGATTTGTCGAGTAGGGGAATGAGACAGGCACGTAGACGAAGAAGGAAATTCTCAACACTGGTGATTCAGCAAAGAGACCGTATTTGGGACTGGGATGGGTGCTGGGGGAAGGAGAGAGGAGACATTGTTTTTTTTTTTTTTTTTTTTTTTTAAGGCAGCTTCCATGGAAAAGGTGGCCTTTGAACCAAGCCTTGGAAGATGAATGGGATTTTTGCAGACAGTGGGGAGAGGGCCATTGAGAGGACATGGAGGCATCTTGGCCAAGGGAAGAGCCTGAACGAAGGCTCTCGTGGTGTCTCTGCAAGATCTTTCCATGAGTCATAGTGGAATTACCTGTACCGTGTATTTTAAAGCTGCAGAATGCTGTCGTCAAACGTGGTTTCAGTGAATGAGGAGAGTTTTCCAAAATGTACTTAATCGAGTTTGCGTTGAATCCTCCTCAGCTGGGGGCACGTTGTTGTTGGGCAGAAAGTCTGCTGAGATGCTGTAGTTAACAATCAGACCCTCCCTGCCACTTTCCCTCCCCCTAGCTTTATGAATAAGTCAGAATCCATACCCTCTTGTTTAATCGGGCACTGTAGTGTGTCTCCTCTCAAACTGGAACCCTTGAAATGGCAACCAGTGGATTGTCTCATACTCATCAGTTTATTCAGTAAGATCTGCAGGTGATTAGGTGTTACTGTAGCACAGTGGCTTTAGACCATGAAGCACAGCAACACATACGCTGAACATTATGTAGCCCAACCCCTCAGGTGTGCACGTGAACACAGGACTGAAACAAGTGGCAGGAAGTAACCTTTAGTCCTGCTGTGTGTGATGCACTTTGAGACTGGCATCTGTTTCTTTTTGTCCCGGGCATTTCTCATCTCTGGGTTGAAGCATAGAGCTTTAAACCCTCTACTGTCAGGGCATGCAGAGGAGAGAGACTGAGCCTGTTGGGAAGACAGGAGAATCAGCCCTGCACCTGAGTGTCTGTACCGCAAAGCCAGCACTGCCCATTGCTGGGGTGGGGGTGGGGGGGTGGGGGGGCAGCTCCTGTCCAGGGAGTCAGGTCCCCACGGCTGAGTGGCGTTTGAAACGGATCCCGGAGAAGTGGAACTTAAGAGAGAGGGAGAAAGCACATGGAGGGAAGACAGAGGCTAGGAGTATGGCGGGACTGAGGTGTGGGGCTTGCTGAGGGACACAGTGGTGGTAACTAGAGCA